TGAGTGGAAAGAGCAGTTTAACCAACCGTAAATTCCTTAAGTCATTGTAATTCATACTGATATAGTCAAAATCATGTTGCATGTTATGCTGGGAAATCATGTTCGTGTCTTACACAAGCGTAAGGATGCAAGATCCAAAGGTATTAAATAAAGGCTGGATTTGTACCCTGGTCGGGACATAGGAAGGCAGGTCAATTTAAAATCCATTCTTAGCTAAAGCTAGGCAAAACTGTTGACACTTTCGTACCTTACCTTAGGGGAGTTACAATGAGTATGCAAAAAACATCCAAAATAAACCAGTTTTCTAATTAATGGGATGATAGTTTGCAAACGGCGCGACACAAATGTCTGAGATCATCCTGAATAACTCTCCCTGCTTTATACTTCGGCTGCTATCGGGCAATTTGTTGTTTCACTTTCCTTAGGAAGATCGGGACTGATTTGTATCTCGTCCACAAGAATCCGTTTGTAGCAATATATTTCATACCCATTGAAACTAATTAGAGTAGCCTGAACATTAAGAGTTACTGACGTGTGATGTGCAGGATATCAGGTAACAAACACATTCAAATGTCAGAGTAATCTCTGGGTGTCCTGCTGTAATCGTTACTTTGATTTTCTGCTAACAGTTTCCGTTACCCGGTTAGTTTTGTCCCTTTTATTACATAGTATTACTGCACAAAACATATTTTCTTACTAATGACGTATTGTTTCCTTTTTCGTCAGGGATAGTCTATAGTTGGATTTTAATGTTAGTGGAACCAACTTTTCCCACAGTTCCCATGCACTTTTTGCCATTACTATGGACAAAATACTAACAGGTACTTGGAATTCCTCATTAAATGGGTTTTCGACTTAAATGACTAGTCGTACCGGTAGCAAGAAGCCCGAAGGGTTTCATAATTTTTGTGTAAATATACAGATATTAAATTTGCAAACTCATGAACCGTTGGGTCTACTGCTAGCCATTTAAAAGCAAACTTTTATTTATATGTTTGATCATAAGTTTGCCATCTTCCAAAATTTTCCCATTAGGTAGCCAACCTGCATAAAGTTTAATCAGAGCACGCTTACACTGATCGGTGCTGGAGACATTTTACATCTGTTCTACAGTCCTGATTTTTGAGTATGAGGCTTATGCTTCGCCCGTATTGGATATCGGCTATTCTTTGCACTGAACGTAGTTGGGAAGATCAATGAAATGTTGCGAATTAACCCATTGCAGTCTATGCTGCGAACAGTTACTTTACAGTGTTCTGCTGAGCATAAATTCACCTTGTTCCAAATGTGAAAATGACAGTTCGACCGTCGATTTCGACGATGTCCACCGTGTGCCCCACAGCTGCAGCAGCGGTGGGAGCAGGGACGGTGACTTACGCAGGGGTTTATAGTGCCAGTAGACTTGCGTAGCAT